ACATTTTTTGTACTATCAAAAAACTCTGTGGTAATTATCAATTAAATAGGATCTATTGAGTTTTTCGCATCACGAAAAAGGATCTTTTCCTGTAGAGAAAATCTAATCGTTTGGCTGCTGTAATCATGAATTACTAGTTTCTCATTGCCAGTCTCTTCCCTAGCTAATCCTCGTGTCGCAGGTCCGCTGGGTAAACTACACTACCAGCAAGCCAATCCAAACCACAGATACGCTCAGCGCAATTGCTGTTATTACAGACTTGGTAAAAAAAAAACACTCTGGGCGTTTTCATCCAGAGCACAGAGGAGAATTCCTTTTTTTTAGAGTATCCGGAATTTCTTTTCATATTTAGAGGTTGAAAAGAAGTCTCGAAAGCCATGTTGAATTTATACTTAATCTCTTATCTTTCGAAAGATTTTTCTAATGCAATATATTGTAAAACCTACGCCTTTTCTTATTACAGCAATGTTATCGAAATGCGAACGAAATATCAAAAAGAATTCATGAAGAAACACGGGATCAAGTTAGGTCTCATGTCACCATTTATCCGAGCGGCTGCTTATGCCCTCACAGAAAACCCGGTCGTCAACGCAGGTACGCTTTCGAGTTTTTTTTTCTTTTCAAAATGTTTCCTCATTGTATTTGCGAAATATCTTAAATCTCTTCATTATTAAGTGATCGACGAAAATGAGATCGTTTACCGGCATTATGTGGATATGTCAATTGCTGTAGCGACTCCCAGGGGTTTAGTAGTCCCAGTACTTCGTAACGTAGAAACGATGAATTATGCTCAAATAGAAGCGGAACTTGCATCGCTTGGAGAAAAGGTGCGTTGTTTGCTAGAGGTAGTATGTATTTGGATATCATCCATAATATTGCAAATCCATAATAGCCTTTGATGCTGTTCAATTCAGGCTCGCGATAACAAGCTTGCTGTTGAAGACATGGAAGGAGGAACTTTCACAATCTCAAATGGTGGTGTCTTTGGTTCAGTATTTGGAACTCCAATTATAAACCCACCCCAAAGTGCAATTTTGGGTATGCACGGCATATTTGACAAGCCTGTTGCGATCGATGGCAAGGTTTGTTCTTTTCATCTTGTTTCTTTTCTTTTCCTCGAGTTAATTTTTTATGTGATCCCTTTTTGAGGCGATAATTTGTCAATGTTCGTGATAGTTTTATTAGAATGCTCAATTCTGTTAGTTCTATTAGAATGCTCAATTCTGTTCCGAAAAAGCATTCTCTTACCTCGGTCTTCGGTGCCGTTGCAATATTTGCAGGCCTCTTACTGCTTGTCTCTTTTCAAAAAATGCCTGAATCTAGAGTGGGTCAGTGTTCCTTGTGATATCTCCATCCGCCACAGAACTAGAACATCTGAGATGCTGATCACTCGCACTAATTCTCAAGTTCAGTTCATTAAGTTTCAAAAGAGCTTTGTGCCTCCCTCCCCTGGTAGAAACCACGGCACGGGAAGGGTGAAATGAAGCTGTATTGGAGTAAATTTCGAGTTCTTGAGGCTTTCCCGTACATGTACTTGATCCATGTAGCATCTCTTTTGAAAACTTGCTTTTTCTCCTGATCTCTTTCTTTTGAAATTTTTTTTCTTCTGGATTTCACGGTTGATTCAAATATCGACCGATGGCTTTTTGAATCTGTTCAGGCCCATTCACATCTCTGTTACCT